AATGCCTTAAGCCTGGAGCAAAGGAACCTGGGGCCCCGCTCGCACCCGGGCGGCCACACGCGACACCGGGACGCCGCGCGAGGAGCTAGCTGTTGGTGGTGTCGCTGTAGAGAATGAGTCGCCCATAGAAGTGCAGCTGATACTGAGGATGCGTGGACTCGGCGGCGGTGACACCGGCTGCCGGGTCCGCCGTGATCCTCGCGGCGCTAGTGCCACTGGGGTGGCGGAGGAACCGGCGTGGTCCGGTTCATTGAGAGGCGGACCAATGAGCTCCGGGCCCCTTCGGGAGCCTGGCCCCAGGGTGTGGACCAATGGGCGTTTTAGGAATGTTGCCTGCGCGTTGCAACCGTCTTCTGACAAAAAGCGAGAAGCGAATCCCAGCGGCCACGTGCTGCCGAGACTTTAGGGCACACTGGGAAACGCAGTTCCTAATAGTTGCTGCGGAGGTTTCCATTGTAGGGTGGAAATGTAGCTGGAGCGTCGTGGTCTGTTTTCAAGGCTCATATGCCATGTGTGCCATTTTCAGTTGCTAACACTTTTCACGTTAATCTCATAGTTAATCACGGAGGAGCTTATTCTTTTTCACAAATGGAAAACTGGTGGTTGTGACAGGTGACTCGAAAAGCTAGTGTTGCCAGGATTATTTCCTAGAAAATCTTGGTACGAACTGAATGAGACGGTGCCCTAGGAAATCACAGAAACATTTGAAAGCCTGGAATAATCTGTAACACCTTTAATAAAAAGGGAAAATTGGTTTCCCCAACTTCTTAGAATGGGGCTCTAGAAATGGCTCAGCAGATAAGATGCTTTTCCAGAGGACCCGGATTTGAGTCCCAGCGCCCACGTAGCATCTGTAACTGGTCGCGGGGGACCTGACGCCCTCTTCAGACTTGTGTGGACATTGCATACTTGTAGGTAAAAACACCCATACAAATAAACTTGGGTGTGCGTTCCCCTGTGCCTGTGCCTCTGCCTGTTTAAAGTGTCTCCTGGGTAGAAGGGAGGCCTTTTTAAAAGGACACATTCTTTAAATGTGTGAAAGCCACCTTTACTTTGTAGTAACCAAGCAACTGGGATTTTTACTGTTTGGTGTGATTTTACATGGCTTCATAGATAGTTAACACACATGGTCTTAAAGACAAACATGGTCTACAGCTAGCCTTAAGCAAGTTGTAGCTGAAATATGTTCGAAAGAACTGAAAGTTCATAATTTTTTTTCAGTGACTGATCAAATAAAGAAGCCACTCTCTGGTCGTTATTTACTGAGGCCTTTAAAGAAGTGTCTGGAAAACAGTAGGTGATAGATAAACCTACCTAGTCAGTGGCTTAACAAGGAGTTAAGGAGTCTTTTGTAGAAGCCCTGCAGCACTTCTGAAATAATTACTGTGGGGTAATAGGATTGAATAAACTGATACTTAAGAGTAGTTAAGGTGTTAACAGTTTATGATTCTGTGTTTCCACCGAGGCTTGGGAAGAAAACAGTATCAGTGGCCCCGGTGTTGGTGGCTCATGCTTTTAATCCCAGCACTCAGGAGGCAGAGGCAGGCTGATCTCTCTGGGAGTTCAGAGGCCAGCCTGGTCTCCAGAACGAGTGTCAGGATAGGCTCCAAAGCTACACAGAGAAACTCTGTCCCGAAAAAAAGAAAACAGTATTAGTGATATAAAATGCTGTGTATTAATGACGTTTTGGTTTTTTTCGAGGCAGGGTTTCTATGTTTTCTATGTTTCCCTGGCTGTTCTGGAACTTGTTCTATAGAGCAGGTGGGCCTCAAACTCAGGAGATTCACTGCCTCTGCCTCCTGGGACTAAAGGTGTTTGCCCACCACCTAGTTAATTTTTATCCAGACTTTGAGCCCACTCTTCAAAGTAAACTTCCAGGATTTTGTGTTTGGGTCACAGTTTCTCATGTAGCCTTGGTTGGCCTGAAACTCACTATGTAGACCAGGCTGGTCTTGGAACTCATTAAACTATTTGTATTGAGTAGTATTTGATAATCAGAAAGTTCTTACATGTCATGGCTGAAAATACTGCCTTCAATAGCCATCAAAATGTGAACAGATTAGAAGCTTAAGTTAAAATATCAACAGACCGGTTAAATTAAGAAGTAGTCTATTTTTGAAGCATATTGAACACGAGCCTACAAAAATTTAAAATATCAAAGGATATACAGAGCCAGTCGTTGGAGTCAGAGGCAGGTGGATCTCTGAGTTCGAGACTAGCCTGGTCTACAAGAGCTAGTTCCAGGACAGGCTCCAAAGCCACAGAGAAACCCTGTCTCAAAAAAAAAAAAAAAAAAGCAAATGGATAGTTGTAGAATCATACAACAGAATGCTACCCAACAATAAATGAGCCGTTGATTATATAGACACCACATGAGTAATGATGAAAACAGATGAGCTGAGAAAAGAAGCCAGGCAAAAGTACATGCTGTAAGATCTCGTTTCTGTAAAAACAGAAGTGCAAACTAATCAGACAAGACTGGTCAGTGGTGGCCTGGAAGCCTTAACAAAGGGAGGAATGGATTGCAAAGGAGCAAGAGTCCACTGCTGGGTATTGTGATACATGCTTTTAATCTTAGTAACCTGTAGCCAGAGACAGGGAGATTGAAGCCTTGTCTTCAAAAGCAAGATCCCGGATGTGTTGTTGAATGACCATCTTTTTGTGTAAGATTTCAGTCTAGCAAAAATTCAGTGGGCAAAGGTATATGCTGAGCAAGCCTGGGAAATTGATTTCTTTATCCCAGAATCATACATGAAAGTTGGAGAAACACTTTCCCAAGAGTTGTCCTCTGACATACACTAGTGCCTTGTGGTGGCATGCATGCCAGATACACATACACAATAATGATAAAAATTGATGGGTGTGATGACATGCCCCTTAATACTGGGGCTCATATGCAGAGGCTATGGATTTTTATGAGTTTGCAGTTTGCCTGGTCTGCAAAGTGAGACCTAGACCCTTTTGACCCCCCCCCCACCATCCCCACCCACGGAATTCAATCTTGTATATTTTGGCGATGCTATTTAGGAAGTAACATGAACTTTAAATTCACTTATGTTTTTGTTTCATTTTTATGAGGTGTCTTATTTGTATGCAACAGCCAGTCTCCTTTCCAGGATTTGTGCTAGTACTCACCTGTAATCCCATCAGGAGACTGGCGCAGTGGGATTTGGGGGGGGCTTTAGGGTTCGTCTTGGCCAAGTTCTAGTACTTGAACTTGATCCTCTAACCCAGTGAAGAATCTGTCTTTTTTTTTTTTTTTTTTTTGGTTTGTACTTGTAAACCTGCCAGGGAAGCAGGGACAGGTAAGAGGTGGGCTGATTAATAATTAGCCCTGTGTGAAGGAAGACAGACACACTCCAAAATTATTATCTAGCTACCCCGTGCATGTGTACCCATACTGGTGTGCACACATTAAGTTTAGCTTTGGTAATTTTCCCTGGTAGCTCTTGTAATTTTTTTTTTTTCTCAGTCTGGAAAATGTTTTTCCCATGAAGGTGGTGCACACCTCTAATCCCAGCACTCGGGAGGCAGAGGCAGGCAGATCTCTTGAGTTCCAGGCCAGCCTGGTCTCCAGAATGAGGGCCAGGATAGGCTCCAAAGCTATAAAGAGAAACCCTGTCTTGAAAAAAACATTTAAAAAAAACATTAAAAAAAAAACCACCTGGAAGTGATTTGTGTGTGTGTGGGGGGGGGGGTTGAGGGAATAGAATAGACCCTTTAAGCAAATGGGTCCCTCTTTCCAAGCTTTAATGCCAAGACGAAGTGCAAACTTAATGAGTACTTAAAGTGAAAGGAGCACGTGCATGGGCTTTGTTTAGTAGTTATGGGGGTGCACTTGAATTTGGTGCTGGTAGAGGTCAGAAGAGTTATAAAGAGATCTTCCTGTTTCTGCATACTGAGTGTTGGGACTAAAGGTGTGCCACCAGGCCTGATCCTGAATTCTCTTAACTGCTGACCCACCTCAGTCCGCCTTAACACTCTTATCTAAGCTTACTTCTTATTTGACTGCTGTTGCCCAGTATAGAAGTATCTGGTCATGTACACAGGAGGAATTTATAATGCATTGCCGGAAAACCTTTTATCAGTTTGATCAGTGGCTTCCCACACCAACTATTTTGTTGTGTAGTACTACACTATTCAAGTGTTTCTTCCTGGAGGGAGAGGGCAATTAACAAAAGTCAATTCTCTGTTCATTTATCTCCATTCTCTCTGGGTCAGACTTGGGTGCTATAATACACTAAGTCATCCTGTTGCCCCCAAGCTATCTCTCTTAAGCATACATACACTGACTGAAGTAGCAACAGAGAAAACAATACAAATAAATTTGGGACAAATTATGTTTAGATGCCCTTGGAGGCCAGAAGAGAGCATCAGATCCTCTGGAACTAGAGTGGAGCCAGTTGTGAGCAGCCATAATACTATTGTTTGGTTTCTTTTGACACAAGGACTACCTTGGGTTAGGGTTAGTGGTAGCCTGAGTATAAGAGTCTCAGAAACAGACCTTAGTCAAGCAGTGTGCTTGCTAATTTAGTTGCTTCTGTTGAATTTTAAACAGTGACTTGGTAAACTGAACTTTGAAACCAGCCATTTTACTTAGGAAGTGATATGTGATGTAATCAGTTGGATTTGTAGATTAAAATCTCTGGCTGCCTTGCTCAGATCTCTGGCAATAGAGTCCCTGTACCATCATTTCTACCAACTTTTCAGGTGACTGAAGTGTAGCTCTCCTTCCTCTTGGCTCTGATTTCATTCTGTCTGCCTACTGGTGCTGTTCTGTGTAAGTTTTATCTTGTGAATCTGACACCTTAGTCCCTCTGTGGGCACTAGGCATGTATGTTGGGCACTCATACACAAAATGTAGTACAAATAATAATAATAAAAAAATCTAGAGACAGATATTGAGGTTAAAGCTTAAGATCAGAGGAGCAAAACAGCCGGCCACTAGCTCTTACCTCTACCTCAGACTGAAACTGTGATCCTGTCTCCACAAGTCCTCATCGTGGCTGAAGACTGAATGCCAAATACCCAAATGAGACCCTGAGCTCTCCAGTGCTGGGATTAAAGGCCTGTACCACCACTGCCTGGCCTCTATGGCTGTGACTGGTCTTGCATGCTGATCTTCAGACAAGCTTTATTAGATCATAAACTATCACAGCAACAGAATAGTAAAAGTGTTAAAAATAGTCTGTAACTTATGTATACCTAATGCAGTCTAAAAATGGTAAGAATGATGCTGTGGTAGAGCAAAAAGTGAAGGTCTATATAAGGGGCCTCTATGTTGGTGTTGGGAGTCAAACCCAGATCCTCTGTAAGAGTAGGCAGTATTCTTAACCCCTGACTCAACTGTCCAGCTCCTCTTCTGCCTTTTTAGCTGTGTGGATTTGACTTAGGTGGGATGGTAGAGTATTTGTGGCTGTTTAATGTTAATGTGCCCCTGATTCGTGCATTTGGCGTTTTTTTCTTTTTCCTTTTTTTAAAGCTATTATAAGTTATACTGGGAGTCCAGTATTCTTCTAGGCCTAACTTTTTGTTTTTTTCCAGACAGGGTTTCTCTGTGGCTTTTGGAGGCTGTCCTGGAACTAGCTCTTGTAGTCCAGGCTGGTCTCGAACTCACAGATCTGCCTGCCTCTGCCTCTGCCTCCCGAATGCTGGGATTAAAGGCATGCGCCACCAACGCCCAGCTTAGGCCTAACTTTCATATGCGTGTGGGGTGGGGGTTCTATACTGTTTTCCATAATTGCTGCTCACTTTTAAGAGAGAGCTGGAATTATATGCTTGGTAAGCAGTGGGTATCATCTTGTTAGTTTATATGATTATTTGTATTTAGAGACAGTTTTTATTCCAGGCTGGCCTGGAGTGCAGCTGCCTTAGTCTCTGCAGTGCTAGGTTGTTCAGTTCTATTTAGTAAGAGTCAGGTAACTGTGCTTCCTCCATCTTAGCAACCCAGCATGCTCTTCCTCAACTAGCAGTGATGTTTAAAATAGCCATGGTGTTTCTATCGTGGAATGAAAGGAAGCACTGACTTAAAACTCCTAAGTCAGTTGGCTTATTAACTGAATGATTATGAAGGTACACACAGCCAGATTTCTTTCAGAGAAAGAAATCATGTAGCAAGGAACTTTTCTGTGGAAAGATATACCTACTTTTGTAAGTAATGCCTTATTGGAACCTACAGTAGTAGTTCATATGTATATAGCATCTATGGCTATTTCTGTCTATTAAAGGCAGAACTGAGTAGTTTAAGAACACATTTATCTGCCTTGGAATAATCTAGCTTGACAAGGTGTGCTATTTTTTTAGAGAAGAGGTTTTATTACTGTCCATGTATAGGAAGACAACAGGACTTTATGTAGTTGGCTAAGACATTTCTGAGTTAGGTATTTATATGTTTAGAAAGTCCAACAGAAGCCGGGCGTTGGTGGCGCATGCCTTTAATCCCAGCACTCGGGAGGCAGAGGCAGGTGGATCTCTGAGTTCGAGGCCAGCCTGATCTCCAGAGCGAGTGCCAGGCTAGGCTCCAAAGCTACACAGAAAAACCCTGTCTAGAAAAACAGAAAGAAAGAAAGAAAGAAAGAAAGAAAGAAAGAAAGAAAGCCCAACAGAGTTGGTAATAATGATTGAAGGTGCACCAAGATTGCTAGCCTATGTGAACTGTTTCAGCAAGTTAGTCTGTTTCTGTCTTGATATTACAGATTTTAAGCATAGTGTTCAAATAGCCAACAAAACCAACCCATTGGGATCACATACTAGTTTAGTGATTGGAAATGATTAAGTTATTGGAGCTTAATGAAAACAAATACATAAGTAAGATGTCCTATTTGGATGTAGTTCCTTTAATTTAATTGATTTAGGTCAGTGTTTCTTGAGGACAGTTGATCCCCAAGAGACCTTTGGCAACACTTGAAGATATTTCTGGTTGGCACAACTGGGGTGATAGGTGCTGCTTCTGGCATGAGAATGGGTAAAGGCCAAGGATTTGTGCCCTGTGCAAAGAACAACTCAAACCCCAACAAGGAAGTAAAATTAAGTGTAATTAAGCGCTGAAGTAAAAGTTGAAAGACACCCCCCCCAAAAAAAAATGCATATTCTTTGCTTATGAGAGTAAGTGGAGGGGTTGGAGAGGTGATTCCACAGTAAAGACACAGGTTGGATTCCCAGCTGTAGCAGCTTAGAACCATGTGATATGGTGTCTTTGGTTTTTTGAGACAGGGTTTCTCTGTGTAGCTTTGGAGACTATCCTGGCGACCAGGCTGGCCTTGAACTCACAGAGATCCACCTGCCTCTGCCTCCTGAGTACTGGGATTAAAGGCGTGTGCCACCAATGCCCGACTGTGATATTTTAAGTTAAAGCGGGGGTGGGGGGGTGGCAGTGTAGTGACTTCTGAGTTGGGGGCCAGCCTGTGTACATAATGAGTTCCACGCTAGTCCAGTTGTCACCCAGTGACAACACTATGAAATAAACAAGTGGATTAAATGGTCTTAGTTACTGTCTCACATTTTCTGTCTTAAATCTGTCTTAAAACTCAGTGGTAGAGTGCTTACCTCATGTACCGGGTTGCATTTCTTGAACAAAGGTTGTCTAAAATCTGGTAGAAACGGTAGTGTTGTTAATTGTGGGTTTTGTTGAATAACAGATCTGAGTGGGATGTCCTTTTGAAGGATGTGCAGTGCTCAATCATCAGTGTGACGAAGACTGACAAGCAGGAAGCTTATGTACTCAGGTGAGTCCTAAGTGTTGAGTTGCCTTTGTGAAATACCACACTCTTCTCTCACCAGAATCTGTGTTTTCCAGTTTTATGAATCTGGTATGAAATATGATTGCTTTGTTTCTAGATAGAATTTTTTTAAAACTTGCCTAGCTGCTCTTTGTGACGGTTGCCATGTTTCCCACATAGTCTGCTGGATGAAGGAAAAACATTGTATTCTAATATCTACCCAACCCCCACTGCTCTCTGCCCAAATTTCTGACAAGGTATGAAATTTTGCTTTGGTACATTAGGTTGCTTTATTAGTATACAAAGTCATTAACCTTTTAAAATTGGGTTCAAGGTTGGTTTAACCAATAAATGCTTGGTTTATACCATGGTCCTTGGGCCTTGCCATTAAATAATATACATAATATCTGATTTTTTTTTTAACTATGCAGTGATGTACAAAGACATGTGAGAGCAGTGGTGCCGTACTTGGTTAGGCTCTTGTGTGTTATATCTAGACATAAGAATGAATGTGAATACTGTTACTCTAAAGAAAAAATAAAATTACACAATTGCAGGAACATGAATGGGCTGGGAATGTACTATTTAAGCAAGGTCACAGAATCTCAGGGGTATTGCATGTACTCCCACTTGTTCAGAACCTAACCAGTAAATTGTTTTATGTGTGTGTGTAGAAGAGAGGAGAGGCTAAATATCAGGAGATTTGAGGGATGACTAATAGTTTTTCTAGTTCTAATTTTGTTTGTTGTAGATTATTAGATTTTGGTGGATAAGTACATATAATGTATATCCAATGGTGATGTAAAAATCACAGCTATTGATGTGCTAGAATATTAATTGTATTGTCAGTGATACCTGCTGAGGTAATGATCTTGTGCTTTTCTGTTGCAGTGAGAGTAGCATGTTTGTCTCCAAGAGACGTTTCATTTTGAAGACATGTGGTACCACCCTCTTACTGAAAGCACTGGTTCCCCTCTTGAAGCTTGCTAGGGATTACAGTGGGTTTGACTCGATTCAAGTAAGTGCTCAGACACGGTGTTTAAAACTGATAAGTGGTTTTTGTTTGGCTGGACTTTAATATTTTACCTCAAAGAAAGGACTGTCATTACAATCTCAGGATTTTGGTTTCTTTGCACCTGTGGTTGGGACTGAACCCAAGGCTTTCTGCATATGCTAGTCAGATGTTCTATCACTAAACTATAGCCTTCCCTGCTAATAACTGTTTGGGGGCATACCTCAAGCTTGCCTCCTCTTCCAGAGTTCTGGAAATATAGGTTCAAGTTACCAGCCATTTTGGGGCATGGGAAAGGGGTTGTTAGGCTTTGGAGCTCTGGCTAGTCTCAAACATAACACTCTTGTATTAGTGTCCTTGGTACTAAGATTAAAGCTGTGAACTACCATAGCCACCCTACTAATATAGTTATGATAATTAACTCAGCTATCCTTATAAGAAATCTAAGATAGGTACTTAAATTGTGCTGGCTGACTATTGAAAGGAACACTTGCCATGCAAGCCTAACATCGTGAGTTTTATCCTCAGAACCCATCAAAGGTTGGAGAGAAAGGACTCCAGATTTGTCCTCTGACTTCCCCATGCACTCTGTGGTATATGTGCACATTTGAATAAATGTTTTGTTTGCCTTGTGTGTGTATGGTATGTGTGCCTAGTGCCCATGGGAGCCAGAATAAATGGGGCATCAGAGTCCCTGGGGCTGAGTTAGAGAGCGTTTGTGAGCCTTCGTGTGAGTGAGTCAAATGTAGGGCCTTTAACAGAATCACTATGCTAGGAAGACATGTACTTGGTCTGTGCTTCTGACCCATCAATAGACACAATATTTTCTCCATTCCAGCTTAGAAAGTACATTGCAGTAGTGAAAGTGTGCATATTGTCATTCTGGTGGCTAATTTGTGTGCTTCACAGTTGCAACTTGAAACATTTGTAAAGTTTTTATTTTGTTGTTTTTTTCTATATGTAGGTTAAAAAAAAAATCTTAAAAGACTTCTCTCTCTTTTTAAGAGCTTCTTTTATTCTCGTAAGAATTTCATGAAGCCTTCTCACCAAGGGTACCCACACCGGAATTTCCAGGAAGAAATTGAGTTTCTTAATGCAATTTTCCCAAGTAAGTAAAAGCAGAACATAGTTTATTTTTTTATTTGTTTGTTTGGTTTTGGTTTTTTAAGACAGAGTTTCCCTGTGTAACAGCCCTAGCTGTCCTGTTGACCAGACTGGCCTCTAACTCACATAGATCCATCTACCTCTGCCTCTGCCTCTGCCTTTGGTGTGCTGGGATTAAAGGAGTGTGCCATCACCACCAGGCAGGCTATTCTTGTCTTTTAAAGTTAAGGATACAACCATTTAAAGGTGAATGGGTTTTGTTTTTCTGTTTGCCTAGTGTTATAAAGATTTCAGACAAATTTTAGTTGTGTGGGTAACAGTACAAGTTGTGTGCTTGTAAACAATGTTGCTGGTGGACAGAATGTCGTGGGAAGCAAGGAGGTGGGGCATGTGCCTGGATACTAAGTGGACTGAAGGAGCCCTTGAGCCCAAAGATTCAAGGCCAGCCTGTGCCAGATAGTGAAAACTTGTTTCAAAAAAACAGCAGCTGGATAGAGAGCACAATTAATTAGTTGTAAGTTGCTTGCTACACAGGGATACAAATTTGATCCCCAGTACCTACATTTATAAGAACAAACCCAGCCAGGTGTAGTGGTAGGAGTTTATATAATATGGGTGCTATGGAAGCAGAGAGTGGTAGATTGATTCTTTAGCTCATGACCTAGCCTGTTCTGCAGACTTTAAACTAGTGTCTCAAAAAATAAGATAGATGGCTATAAAACTAAGATATCTTAATAACTTTGCAAAATCACTTACAGGAATGGATTTAAAGGTGAAACTCTGGGGGTAAGGTATGTGTAGCTGACAAATAGTGAACACATACTTAGCATGTGTGAGGCCCTGAATTTGATCTTCAACACTTTAGTAATTTATGACCTCAAACCCTATGCACTACCAGAGTGGTGGGTATTTACTTGGTGTCATTTCCAAATTGGTTTACTGTGCTAAGGGAAATCTTGAAATAGTTTGGGAAGGACATGTAAGGAAAGCACCTTATATTAATTAGAAGAATAGAAAAGTATCCAATTCTCTACCCTGTGGGAGTTGTAGGAAGAAGGTGAACTGTGTATTCTCAACCATTTAGGTCCATCGACATTCCAAGAATATCAGTGAGGATCACGAAAAAGAAAATGTGTTTAAGAGCAAAGGAGAAGGGTGGGTGGATATAAGCTCTGGGTTTGGTTCCTGGGGCCCACAATGGGATTGATCTGACCTGTGAGCTGAAAGTAGTATGTGGTGCCAGCACATAGTACATAAATAGGAGACCTAAGGAGATGATTTGTTTTTTTTTCCTTTTTAGAATTCACCCACTTTGATTTCCCTTCACTGGTGGTGTTTTTAATAGGTGGTAATAATACTGTTTACTGAATGACTGATAATGAACCATCGTATTCAGTGGATTTTTATAAATATTTCCTTTCCTCACAGATGGAGCAGCATATTGTATGGGACGTATGAATTCTGACTGTTGGTATGTAATTTTGATTTTGGTTTGGTTTTGTTGGCTCATGTATTGGTTTTTTGAGGGAACAGGGGTATTGTTTTAAGCTAGTCCAGGGAGCCAATTGCTTATTAATCCTAGCTACTCTGGACAAGTAGGCAGTAAGACAAAAGGGGGAAGGAGGATGGGAGGTGTGGTTCAGTGGGCATGGACTTCTTGAAAGGATCAATTTCTAAACAGTAAGCTCTGTTATCTTTTACTTGTATATAGGTACTTGTATACTTTGGATTTCCCAGAGAGCCGAGTAATCAATCAGCCAGATCAAACCCTGGAAATTCTGATGAGTGAGCTTGACCCAGCAGTTATGGACCAGTTCTACATGAAAGATGGTGTTACTGCAAAGGATGTCACTCGTGAGAGTGGAATTCGTGACCTGATACCAGGTTCTGTCATTGATGCCACATTGTTCAATCCCTGTGGCTACTCGATGAATGGAATGAAATCGGATGTAAGTAATTAGAATCTTCAATAATTTTTAATATTTATATTCTTTCTCTTATTAATAACAATGAAACTTTTCTCTAAGGGAACATATTGGACTATTCACATCACTCCAGAACCAGAATTCTCTTATGTTAGCTTTGAAACAAACCTCAGTCAGACCTCCTATGATGACCTGATCAGGAAGGTTGTGGAAGTCTTCAAGCCAGGAAAATTTGTGACCACCTTGTTTGTTAATCAGGTAATTTGACTTCTGTTTTGTTTTGTTTTGGCCATATTAGGAACTGTATCCATGGTCTTGCACATGCTAGGCAAGCACTTCCCAGCCTAAGTAATCAATCTGGTTGCTAGGAGTAATAAAGCTTCAAAATAAATGGGATAATAGATTGCCACAAGACATGTTGCAGAGTAACAGCTGTACCTAGTTACTGATCTGTATGTAACAGTGCCATTCACAGGGGTTAACTGTAGGCAGAGAAACCTTTCAGCAGTTTTTGTTCTGTATGGCACCTGGTCAGCACGCTACTGTTCTACTGATGTTCCTGTTGACAACGTGGTTAGAGACCATAAGACACCCTGCTTCCCAGCCCACAAGAAAACAGATAAAATGCCACAGTTTAGGGTTGGCACCTTCCAGTAGAAACCCGAGTTCAGATCTCAGCATTCACACACAGCATGCTTGCACAAGTGCATGTGCGCGCGTGCGCGCATACACACACTAAGTCACTAAATAAATGAGAATTTCTTATTTGGTTCTGAATTTTAAAGTAGTCATCATGGCATTACTGTTTGATCTGAAAATAGAGACTGGAATACTAATGCTTATTTTCTTTTTTTTTCCCCAAGAGTTCTAAATGTCGCACAGTGCTTTCTTCACCCCAGAAGATTGAAGGTTTTAAACGTCTTGATTGCCAGAGTGCTATGTTCAATGATTACAATTTTGTTTTTACCAGTTTTGCTAAGAAGCAGCAGCAACAGCAGAGTTGATTAAGAAAAATGAAGAAGAAAAAACGCAAAAAGAGAAGACACACAGGAGGTGGTAGCTGCTTTCTAGATGTTGATACTGGGGGCCGGGTTCTCCATGACCACCACCTTGTAGTTGCAGAAAGCCCTAGGTGTAATGATAGTGTAATCATTTTGAAGTGTATGCATTATTATATCAAGGAGTTAGATATCTTGCATGAATGCTCTCTTCTGTGTTTAGGTGTTCTATGCCACTCTTGCTGTGGAATTGAAGTGCATGTAGAAAAGAACTTTGACTGTATGAATCTCTACGACACTTGTGAAAATGATTCAATTTGGTTTATGCACAGTGTAATATTTCTGCAGGCATCGTCCAAAATCCCCCCCCCCCCACAGACAAGGCTTTCGTCCTCATTAGATGCTGGCCTCAGCTGACCATCTGCGACTGTTCTAATAAATTGCTGCCAGAGTTTTTACATACAGTTACCTCCACTTTCTAGAGCATATTCTCTACTAATGTTATTAGTAGAGAAACCAAATTTTTACTTCATACAGGTGTTTTATGCAATGGCAATTAAAGTTTTTCTTCCACAAGTTGAGTCCTTGTTAAAAAATGCTGATTCCAGTTACTGTTTTGTGTTCTGCCATTTTAATGATTGTTCCTGCATTTATAGTCCTATGATTGATTTCATCTCTCACCATGGCGTCTTTCCCTCTTCCCTCAACTCACTCAACCCTCCCATTAAAGCAATACATTGTTACATTGGGCTTATAATAATCTTGTATGCTAGGTGGAGGGACTTTGGAGATGGTCCGTGGTTTAATTTTTTTTAAGACATAAGAATGTGGCCTCCTTATTGGCATGAACTGTGGAAGATAAATGACAAAACTGAATGTAGCAAATGAAAATAATTCAGTCTCCAGGACTGGTTAGCAGGGAGAACCCATTTAAAAAAAAAATTCATGGAAACAGGCTATGTAGTGCAATTTAGCTTTAATGGAGTGCCTGCCATGCTTTTACTAGTTTATTCAGTGGTGACAGGAGGAAATCCACTAAGTCAAAGCAGATATTTAATCCTGGACCTTCTGATCTCAGTACATGCAGTCAACTTAACCTATTGCCACCAATTTTCTCTAAAGTAAAGTGTGATTCAAAGGAGAATCTGTGGCGTTTCCATCTGTGTTGTGTACTTTTTGTGATGCATGTGAGCTGTTCTGACTTCACCTGTTCCTGTGGTATTCACATGATCAGATCAAATGAATGAATGCCTGGAGTGAGGACTCTGCAGGATGCTCAGCCCCACAGTAAATGTATGAGCACACAAAACAACACAGACCTCTGAAATAGTTAATGGGATTAGAAATATACAGGGATGGCATGTTAGTGGCATTTGCAAATATTGTGGGATCTAAACAGCTGGGAGAAGAGCAAAATGGACTAAAATTCCTATTTATTTCCCTCTTTTTTTTTTTTGGTAGTTTCTGGACTGATGCAGTGATGTTTTGTTCCTTCCATATTTATAATGAAACACATTTTTAGCGTTTCTAAACATAGAATCTACTTGGTTTGGAATCAAGTGGTTGGAACACTGTCTGGATTTTTACTTTAAGCATTGCTGTTTATTGAATGCTTCATTGGGGAAGCCTCCAGTCAGCTTTATCAGTTTGATTCTGTGATATGCACAGCACCTGATGTTTTGAACTGCTATTTGGAGGACCAGTGCTTATTTAAGCTGGATTTTGTGACCCAGTAGATTTTGTTGGAGGTCTGATTACCCCATTTGATAGAATTATGGATTCTAATGATGAAATTTGCATAGGTTTCTGTGGAATAAAAAGCCTAGAAAAGAACCTGTAGATTGAATAGTGATGCTGGTGTGATTACAGAAGGGGAAGTTTTGGTGCCATTATTTCTTTGGTGTTGGACTTTTAATCAGTTGAAATGTATTTCTGTACCACAATGTAAGTTTCAATAAAAGTTTGCTTCATTGTCTAGTAACATTCAGAAAGTTTTCTGTTATTTGACGTTTACTTAACCGAAAACTAGAAGTTTTCAAGCATTTGAAGGTAGAAGTTCACAACCCTTTGTAGATTCAACTCTTAAGCTATCAGTAGGGTGGTGCTTGTATAATTTTTTATTGAAGTTTTGGCAAGGACTACCTCTGCTCCTGGTCTTTTTTATTTTTTTTAATTGTCTACATGTGTAATGACCATGAAAAATGCTATTTTCTGATTAGAAGATACTTCACTGGTTTTCTGTTTAAAAAACCAGGATTAGATTGACTTCTCAGCTACGAAGTAGGTGCGGTAAGGGGATCACTTGAGCCCTATAGGTGTGTGTACCACCTCCTAAGAATAGACGTCCTAGGAAAGAAATGCTGTGCTTGTATGTGATGCATAGAACTCTCTGAATTTCAGGGTTCACTAGTGAGCATAGGAGATTCATGTTTGTGTCACAAGACAAATGCAGTAAATATGATAGCTGGACAAATAAGTACTGCTGGTTGAATTTCTGGCCCACCCACTGTCTTGCTGTAAGAAGTGGAAGAGGTACCATTGGCTCTCTTGGATCCTATCCCTTCCTGCCTTTAGACTATCCCATGAATTGTTTGTGTTTCAGTTCTGTGCTTTCTGACTTCTGGTTTTCTTCCTGTTCTTTGATCTGTCAAGAGTATCTTTGCTGCTCCCTAGATGATAAGTATCTTGACTGAACTCCTTGTCTGTAATCCCAGGGACCCACACTCTGAGGAAGCATTGTCATTAACTTTGACAATTCAAAAGTCCCCAGAATTTCAACTGTCTGGATCTGGTGACATCTAGTGACTTTACATGGACATGTACAAATAATTAGGAAACATCCCTGTTGTACATGTGTTTATTGAACAGTGAATAAACAGACCCTGGCTTCCAAGCCTGATAAATTAATCTTCAAAACCCACATGATAGTGGACCAAATCCCCTAACATGTATGCCCCTCACAAGAAATTTTAATTTGTATAGTAAATTCATAGTGCCAAGTATGAATGCATAAAGAATAAAAATGCTCTGGCACTCAGTCTACAGGGAACACAAAATCATTGAAAGGAGGCATGGGCAGGCTGTGGTGACACGTATTTAGTCCCAGCATAAGAGGACAGTAAGGGCTGGAGAGATGGCTCAGAGGTTAAGAGCACCGACTGCTCTTCCAGAGGACCTGGGTTCAATTCCCAGCACCCACATGGCGGCTCACAACCATCTGTAGTGAGATCTGGTGCTCTCTTCAGGTGTGCAGATATACATGGAAGCAGAATGTTGTATACATAATAAATAGTCTTTTTTTTAAAAAAAAAAAGGGGGGGATGCTAAGGAAGTACACTTAGTGAAAATTGGAGCGACCTGAGTTAAAATTTGAAAGATGCTAGTAGGCTAGTTAGGTGAAAGATTAGAGGTTGTATGGTTAGCATAAAGTAGCAATAAATTAAGTGTGCTATGAATACATTGAGGCAGCATGTGATGAATTTTTTAATTCTGGTTCCCTATACAAAAGTTAAACACCGAGAGGGTGAGTGAACCAGGGGACCCAGGTTTGAGTTCCAGCACCAGGAGGTCCAAAAGGTTTCCCCTCAGGGACACGATCATGGTTTGAGACATAAGTCAATTGGTATTTTGATTCCGCTCAAGTCTAGTAATCAGTAATGCAGAAAAAAAGTCTTTGACAAAGTGTAACATTCCTTCAATTCATGGTATCAAGCCCTGAAGAAAGACACTGGAAAGCCAGCATGTCCTCCAAAAGGAACAACTAAAAGTCATAGGACACTCAGATGAGAGAGGCCAGACTTGTCCACATAGTGCACTCCAGTACTACATAGACCCTGTTTCAAAAAGCTTAAAAAATGCTGGTTAATCCCAGCACTGGAGAGGCAGCAGGCAGATCTCCCAAGTTTAAAGCCAACCTGGTCTACAGAGCAAGTTCTAGGATTACACAGAAACACTTTCTCTGAGGGGGGGGGGGAAATACAAATCAGGACAGTTTGGTTTTTTTGTTGTTTTCTCTTTTTTTTAGACAGGATCTCACTTGTGTAGAACAGGTTGGCTCTGAATTTGTGCTGGGATTAAAGGTATGTGCCATCATGCCCAGATGTTTTTCTGAAAGATCAGGAGGGGAAATATAATTATATCACTTTGCCCCTTCTGAACCTCCCTTTTTGATACTGTCTGTATTATTACATTGTGCATGTGTGTGTGCACAAATAATACACGTGAAATTGTTGAGTCGACCTTTGTGTATCTGCCTTCAGGGCTGTCTACTTTGCATTGGATAAACAATATGATAGTTTATCCCTGGGAGAAGTGAATTCTAGCAGCCATTATTTCCTTTAGTTCTTTGTCTTCAGGTGGGACCTCTCAAAAAGTTTCCCCTTTGCTTATTAACACATCGATTGATAATTGCTGTTTTTCAAATGCTTGGAGTGGGCATTTTTCCAGCTTGCTTCACACCAGTATTCTCGTAAACTTCCGTTAAGTTAATTCTTACTAGAACAGATGTTTAAAAGAGGATACCATGATCAAGGTGGTTTTCCCATGCAAGGCTTATCCATTGTGCTGACCCCTGCAATACCCCCAAATTTGGCAAACTCAATTGCATGATTTGTGGTAGTGGGGGGACTGCCTTCATCTTTTTTGGTTTTTCGAGACAGGGTTTCTCCGTGTAGCTTTGGAGCCTATCCTGGCACTCGCTCTAGAGACCAGGCTGGCCTCGAATTCCCAGAGATCTGCCTGCCTCTGCCACCCGAGTGCTGGCATTAAAGGTGTGCGCCACCAACGCCCGGCTCATCTATTAAAAAATGAAACAATAGCCAGAACTTCTAAAATAATATATTCAGATAAGATTACTCTGCCAAACATAGAAATTAGCCTGGTTGTGGTGGCACACACTTAATTCCAGCACTTGGGAGGTAGAAGCTGGCGAATCTTTGAGTTCAAGGTTAGCCTGGTCTACAGAGCTAGTTCCAGGACAACCAGGGCTACACAAAGAAACCCTGTCTTGAAAATATATATATAGAAATTAAGCATGTCAGTTTTTGTGCTTCTCTCATTGCGAACTGGGAAATTTGGAATTTGATAGGCCAGGTCAAGATGCTAGGTCAGTGGCTGGGTGTGGTACATGGTGTATGTCTTTAGTCCCAGAGCTAGGAAGACAGGTCTGCAGATTTCTGTGAATTTGAAACTATCCTGGTCTACATATCAAGATCCAGTACAGCTGGGGCTGCATAGACACTCTAAATGTGTGTGTGTGTACACTTTGATATGTGTCTATATGTACATATGTCTGTGTTTATATGTACTATATACATAATACACACACGCGCGCACATTGCGTTGTAAATCTTGTTATTTTTGCTTTTTTTTTTTTTTCCAGGATAGGGTCTCACTATGTACTGTCCACCTGCCTCTACCTCTCGGGGTGCTGGGACGAAAGATGTGCACAACCATGCCTAGCACAAACATTTCTAGATGCAGAGACTGTCATTTTCCTGCCTTTGTGTAGGCCATACTACCCTGATGGAAAAGCAGGAACAAATGAGAACAAAAAAAACAAAACCCTTGAGTGCAGTTTGATAAACTGCAATAGTAGAATATTTCTAGATTAAGTTTTAGAAGTTTGTATTAAACATTTGCAAAAAATGATATTAAAATGCATGTGAATTATGCTGGGCGTTGGTGGCGTACAACTTTAATTCCAGCACTCGGGAGGCAGAGGCAGGCGGATCACTGAGTTCGAGGCTAGCCTGGTCTCCAGAGGGAGTGCCAGGATAGGCTCCAAAGCTACACAGAGAAACCCTGTCTCAAAAAACTCATGTCTATGATACAGGAATATTGGGGTGTCTTTGAGAGAGGCTGGGGTCCCAGAAACTTAACAGCCACCAAGGCCAAGTCAGAAGTTTTCTGGGTTTTGAATTAATTTGAATAATGATCGAAGAGGGTGAGATACAGAAAACCTTATTATGGGGAGGGAGAGGCAGAGTCCTGCCCAGAAGCACATGCTCCTGGGGCTGGAGTACCATTTAGCCTTGTTTCCTTGGAGCTAATAAGGCTTTCGTGGACAAAGAAAGTGGGTGCAGTGAGCTGGCCAGTTCAATTTCATTCCAGGTATCCAGGTCCTGCCTGTTAGGTTTTGGTCACATCCTCAGTATGGTCAGACTGCATACCGAGAACCCAGAGGGCACCAAGTTGTCCTCCCTGCCCAACACTGATGAGCTCCTCAAGGCCTACATGAATAAATTTGTCATCTGCCCCAACATTTTAGAATGTAGCCCAAAGCAATAGGAAAGTGGGAGCAGCAGCAGACACCTTCAATAAATGCACGCAGAAATACAGAAAACTAGGAGCAGGACAGGCTCAAGGAGTTCAGGTTTTCAGAGTGACATCGCTGAGTGTAAGTGCAATCAATCCCAGGGGGCTGGAGAGATGGCTCCATAGTTAAGAGCACTGGCTGCTCTTCCAGAAGACCCAGGTTTGAGTCTCATCCCCTACGTGGCAGCTCACAAACTTCTGTAACTCCAGTTCCTGGTGATCCTATGCCCTCTTTTGACCTCTACAGGCACCAGGCATGCAACTATTACACATACATGCAGGCAAAACACACATGTAAAATCAATCAGTCATAAATGCAGTCTAAATGGAGACTGTACTACCCAACACTGAGAAGATAGTTGGGTGCAGCAAGGACATCAGAGCTGTACAACATGCTCATAACATCCAGGCAGTGGTGGCGCATGCCTTTAGTCCCAGCACTCAAGAAGCAGAGGCAGGGGGATCTCTGAGTTTGAGGTGTACAAAGTGAGTTCCAAGACAGCTAAGCTGTTACACAGAGAAACCCTGTCCAGCCTGGTCTACAGGAGATAGTTCCAGGATAGCCTCCAAAGCCACAGAAAATCCTGTCTTGAAAAAAAAAAAAAAAAAAAAAAAAAAAAAAAAACAAAAAAAAAAAAAAATCCAAAGCCCAGTGCTAGGTCCTGA